GCTGGCTGTCTTGACTATGCTAGAGTGCCAAATCAGCTTGGGTGTTAAATATGTGCAGCTCATACTACAGATTGTGTTAGACTAACAAGTGTTATGTGGTGTGCATGTTAATGTGGATCTTACCCAGTTTGTACTTCCCAAGCCGCTGTAGAAACCAAAAAGCCCTTATAAATCCATATATCTGGATTTCTGAATGATTGCCAGAAAAAAAAAATAACCTAGCATCTTTCAGTAAGGACTTGTAAAAGAGCGCTCTTAGATGGAGTATTTTTTGAAAGGTTTTTTTTTTAAATCCATTTTTATTTCTTTAGAAGTATATTTGAAGTTTATGTTGCTTTGGTTGTGCCATGCTATGGTTTTGGTACGGAATTAAGTTGTATAGTATTTATGGTTTAATTGTTATTTTGCCTTGTTATGACTGTAGATGTCCGGAGTCAGTTGATTTCAGTGGTATATTGGATAATAAATAAACAAAAAATAGGTACCAATAGTAAAACTTCAGTTTAACAGACTTTAGATGTAATGGACAAATTTGATACATGGCTTTAAGAATCTGCCCATCACATCAAGGCTTTATGGCAAATGATGCTATTTATGTCCATTATATAATTAAAAAAATGATGCAAATTCAGATTTAATAGATCCTTAACTAGTAGTTCATTAAATAAGGTTTACTGTATTGGTTAAACAACTTAGAAAAAACTCATTATATTGGGGCAATTGCTTGCAAAAATTCATACTTAAGAAAAAATTGTATGACATTGTATGTTATTAAAAAGTATGCTGGAAAATGCGTTAAAGATTTCTCTTTTTTAAAAAAAAATCACATGTTAATATAAAAACAAGTTGGAAAGGCCAACATCAGAATTCCTTTCTTATTTCTGATTGTTTTAACATTTGTTTGGAACAATAAAAGACACCGGAGGAATTATCACTGGTTTATCTCCTGAAAGATTAACATTGCCCTCTAGATATGGGAAAAAGGAAACTTCGCTGAAGTCTTGTTATCAATCATTTCCCCATCCCATTCTGCTCATTCAGGGGCCAAACTAAATCAGGAACAGGATCAAGTTTTTTGAGGAAAAACTCTGGTGCTTCCAGGCCACACTTTTTAAAATGGAATTATTCAATAAACATCAAAAATCAGCTTTTTTGCTGATTTTTTTCCTATCTGCTAATGAGGACTTCATGCAAAAAATCTGTACAGTGGCTTCATATATTATTAGGACCCTTTTCTTGACGTACCTCTCTGAAAGAATCTCTTCACTTAAAGTGGTTGATAACTAGCATTTTACTGACAATTAAAATCTGGGTTTTTATTTTGATCAAGGATTGATAAACACAAATGTCTCAGAATATCTATTAGAAAAATATTTAGCTTTAAATACCTACAGTACGATTGGAAGTTTTATACATTTCTTTGCAACGATAAAAAGAAATTACTTGCTCATCTCTGAAAAATACTTGGTAGAATGTTTCAGTAGGAAGCAGAAAAAGCTTGCAGTCAGCAAAAATATTTTCTTCCAAGCCATAATACTGATTGTTTAAGAATCCCCCACTACCCCAGGCTAGTGAGAAGTCCAAAAATAGCACGACAGAATTCAGTTTTCTTTGGATTAGAAAACAAAGGGAACTTAGTATGTAATATTTACTTTATCTACAAACAAACAATACTTACAGGAATTTATCCTGCATATAGAAGTAAAGGCTTAGAAAATGAAAGTTGAAAAAGTTTGAGAAATGGATTTTTTTCTTCCTAAAACTAATACTCTTTGACTAGAAATACTGGAAATCTCCTGTGGAAATTCCTAATTTGGAATAAGTGGACTATGGTACTTTGAAATGCAACATTTTACCAATTCAAAAGGTATAACATAAAGAATTGTGTCTGTTATTTTAGTGTGAGTTAAATAATGAAAATGAACATGTTCAACATGTTCTATACCTGGTTGATCTTAGTCCTCATAGTGTGCCACCTAAAACATGAGAAAATGTGTGCTATCTTGCTCTGGGCTATGAATACAACAATGAAACTTATTTACATTTCTTCGGTCTTTCTCTTTCTCTCACCTGTTCACTCTTCATATATTTGCTTTGGGGTACCATACACTCTAAATGACCAAACTACATATGACCAAATAGACATCAACACTCTTCTTTCATGTTGGTCTCTTACTGCTGTCTTTGTTTAGCATTTACTTATTTTTTATATTATCTGAGTCCATTGGAAAAATGACTCATGTTTGTTTTTCTTTTGAGATTTTAAATTGGGGAAAACTGTTGAGGAAAACTAATGAATAGGAAGAAGAAAAATAATTTTGTTACATGAAAAGGGAGGGGTGCAGAAACTTCTTGTAGATTTCATTTGCATGAGAAGAAAACATGAAAAGAAGTATTTCTGAGTTCATGTGTTTATGCATAGATGGAACTTATTATGGAATGGTGTGTTTCTGGCTGTATATGAGGGCTGTTATAGAGGTCTGGATGTATCATAGTTGGTTGTAAACAATGGTGGGATTCAAATATGTGAATAACCAGTTCTCTGTGTGGATGCCGCTTCCGGAAGTCCATTCTGGGCCTGGGCAACAAAAAATTAGCTACCGGTTCTGCCGAAGTGGTTTGAACCGGCTGAATCCCACCACTGGTTGTAAGTCATTGCAATTGTTATACAAAATGCCCACATGACCACTTCACTCAACCACAGTCCTATTCTCCCAGTTATGGTCATTAGGTGGACCAAAAAGAGCTACCTACCGAAAGAGGGCAGATAGCTTCCCTCCATGCCCAAATGGAACTCCAGCAATGGTCTGAAGAAAGGAAGACAAATGGTTAGTTAACATATAAAGATTTTCTAATACAGAAAGCAGAAGACACAAGGAACTCTGGAAGTGGGCTGCATTCAGAGACAATAGTTCTGGCTCTTTGAAAGCAGTCCCATTGTTTGGTCTTTGACTTCTATCGTCAGTGGCTGGAAATTAAATCCCCAAGGGTCCTGGAGTCTGGTAAATCCAGCTAAAGTGTCTAGGGCTTGGTCTAGTGATGTGGTCTGTGATAAATTTGAGGAAGTGAACAAGGGTCTCAGCATTTTTAGCTGAGCCACTTGTTTGTTGACGCTTCTGGTTAGTTAAGGCAACCAGGGAGATGAGTGGTGCTTGGATCCATGATAAGGTAGCAATCTCTTTGAGGGAAGAGGTTGTCCTTTGGCCTTGAAGGAGGTGAAGGTGCATACCATCTTTAAGACTTAACAGTCTAAGACAACTGTTATTCTTTCGCCCTCCTAAAATGAAGGGTGTTTAAAAGGTGACAAGACTGCAGATGCAGAGGAACCTGGAAGAAATGGATTATCTCTAGACCTATTTCATTCAGATCTCAAGCTAGAATTCAGTACAGAGGCATTTTTGGATGGATTTGTAGATGATCTGTGACATGGTTGGGGTAGTATATCCATTCTTCTTCTCTTTGATCTCTCCACGGCACCATTTTATAGTGGTTTTCCTCCTTCTTTTGGGAAAAGTACTGGTCTTGGCTGTGGGGGAGAGGTCACTTCCTAGGTCTTCCTTTGTTAGGTGCCACAGGGTCGACACCCTCTCTCCTCTTGTTCAACATCTGCATGAGGGTCTGCCTATCTCTCATCAGTTCAGCCCAGCTAGTTCAGTCCAACAAGACTGACATACTCCATGTTCCTTCAATCAAACAATGTCATTTATTGGAATCCCAGGATGTGTCTTCTCTATTGCTATGCCTGTCCTCTGGAATGAGATTTCAAATGATATCCATGTGCTCCCACTGTGATAGCATTCCAGAAAGCCTTGAAGAGTTGGATGTTCCTTCAGACCTTGAGTTAGGCTGATTGGAGCCCCAGTGGAATATGCTCAGAGATGGGGGTGTTGTTAATCAGATTATCCATCTCATCTTGTTCTTTCTTCCCTTTCGTGTTCCTTTGTTTCTAATATTTTACTTTATTTTCCCATTTTATTGCATAATGCCTCAATTCAAACAATTTGCTGTTGGGCAGTGCCTAAATTGAATAAATAAAACAAAAATGTAATGATGCAGGGAGCAGGGTGGAGAAGGATACCAGCTTGTTTGGGGCAAACAAATGTAAGCAGATAATAAACTAGATTTAAAAGTACAACGGTGTCATATAGCTTTTGCTAATTCTTAATTTCCATAGCTGTTTTTCTGGGCATATGTCTTCTCTGGGCATATGTCTTCTTTTGAGATTATGTCTTCTCTGGGCCTATCTTTGTCTCCCTCAGCCATATTCAAAATGGGCTGAAGTATTTACTAGGAACATAAAATATATGTACTAGTTTGCTTATTTCAGATCTTTGGAGATGATTACTGGCACTCTAAAGAAATCATCTTCCCATGAAGGCAATAGAGATGTCCTGATTGATGTATTTTCCCATTGTCTTAGTATATTGATGCAAAGCAAAGGCCAGTTCCATATTCATTATAAAGGTTTTTTAAAGAAGAAAATATGTTGTTCTGTGTCTCTACAGACCCTCATATAGTACATCCATCTTTTCAGTAATTTTATAATGCGCTGTTGTTTAATGTTCAGTATGTTTGATGCTCATATTAAAGCCAACGTTGCTTAATTATTAAAATGCTGGACTAGGGTTGGAAAACCAGTGTTCCAGTCTACTCTTAGGCACAGAAGCTCACCTTCTCTCAGTCCAATTGACCTCAATTTGTTGGAATGAAAATATAAACTCTGTGTTACAGTATTGATTGAGTTCCTGGAAGAAGGGTAGCATATAAATCCAGCAGATATACGAACCTCATTCTTGGATGTTGTAAAACAATTTTAAACATTCTTTCCTCTGTTTGTATCTATAAATATTATTTTTTGTAGGAAAACTGATTTTTCTAAAAATATATTATTATTGATAAATTATTATTGATCTTTTCTGTCACAGAGGCTGTATTTGCATATGGTATTGATATTATGAAGATATAATGGCACTTCTATGATTACTTTTTTTTATTTGCAGGTGTACAACTCAAATAAGGACAACCAAAATGAAGGCAGTAAGTAATTTATTATTTAGTAAAAAAAAAAAAAAAGCGACTATCGAGCAAATGATTTTTTTAGGCTTGAATACTTGAATAAACCAGTAGATGGTGCTCCATAATCTATTCTAGCCTTCTACTCTGGCCTTAAACTTTCAGGTATAGTTGTGGGGATCAAGTGGTTTCACAGTAATAGTGAAGGCCGACAATCACTGTATTAAACAAAAAAGGTTTATAGCTGCTGGAGTTCCAGCAAGTAAACATCTGGATGCAACCCAAGAACTGTGGAGTTCTGAAACTGGCTTTGTTGCAAATTGTGTGTTTCCTTTGGCGAATTATTTAACAACCTTTTCTCTCAGTTTACACAACCCAGGCACAGAGGTTTACAGAAGGGAAGTGAGAAGGAGAACTAAGATTTTTCTGAATCTTGGTTCCTTGTTTTACTTTCCTTAAAATTCAATGAATAGAAATAAAATATCTTATGCTAAATGGAGTTTGCCTAAAACCTGAGCCTGTCCCTAGACTGTTGTTGAGCAGATGTATTTTGGGAATGAAAGGCTCTTTGTACATATGAAATAGCCCTCTTTAAATATTTTCCTCTCTTCACCCCAAATATTGGACAGAACAAAAGGCTTGATATGTGTTTTTCTGAGCAACTTGAACTTCTTGCTATTTAAAAATGTGTTCTCTATTTCTAAGCAGGGAGCCAGTTTACAAACATCAGTGCAGTTCTAGTTTTTTCTTTTCCTTCTCTTTACAACTGCTGCCATACAGTGACCTAGCAGCAAATCTCTTGTTTATCTTGGGTGTGGCTTATAAAGTTAATGTGGATTTTCATATGTTGGTTATTGAGTTTGTGAATACTGATGAATGGCATTCTTTTTAACCCGGCAAGCTCAGAAATACTTGGAATACAGTAAAAGAAACTGCCTCCTGTTGCTCCCTCCCCCCCCCCCCCTTTTTTTTTTTTTTTTTAAGAGCGAGCAGCATTCAACTGAAACCTTCATGAGCTCATTGCCCCTTTTCATCCTAAGGGATCCCTGCTGGTTGTGTTTCTTTATAAATAGAATGTTATTCCTAGTAAATTTGAGAAGCAGCATCTCCAGCTGTTGGGTCACTCTGGCTGACAGACACTATATACCAGGCATATCAAACTGCTGGCCCGCGGGCCGGATGCATCATGCCGAAACCATGCCCACCCCATTGCCGGCAATGGGGAAAAAGTTGCGATATGTCGCGATTTTGACATGCCTGCTATATACAGAAGTGGTCCAGTTTCTCTTGCTGCTTTTCAGTTGATAAATGCCATATAATTATAAACCCACACTTTCCTTTCTTCCCTTCCCAGCCGTGTAAGATTTGCATACCTATCATCTCTTTAATAGTGCTAGCGTGTCAAACAAGACAGTACAATTAGAGATGATTGCACTTCAGCAGATTGTGAGATTATGTCAGCCTGGTGTTTCTAGGAATCTCTCTTCCTACTAGTCATATGTTCCTGTGTTAAGAAATTTAAAGAAAAAGCAGTAGAGAAACTTGCAGTTAGCTGCTGGTGATTTTAAACAATATATAGAGCAAAACCATGATTTTATTTTCCTGTGACATTTCTGTGATATTTTCCTATCGCTGACCTTTTAAATGCAGAATTCTACAGGTAGTCCTTGTCTTACAACCGTTTCTTTAGTGACCGTTTTACAACGGCACTGAAAAAAGTGATGACAGTGGCAGCATCCCTGTGGTCATGTGATCAAAATTTAGAACTTGGCAACTGACTCATATTTATGACGGTTGCGCTGTCCCGGGATCACCGACCCCCTTTCGCAAGGTTCTAACAAGTAAGGTCAATGGAGAAGCCAAATTCACTTAATGACCAGGTTACTCACTTGACATCTGCAGTGATTCACTTAACAACCGTGTCAAGGAAGGATGTAAAATGAGTCAAAATTCACTTATCAACTATCTCACTCAGCAACATAAATTTTGGGCTCAATTGTGGTCATAAGTCGAGGACTATTTATAAAGAGAAAAACCATTATTTTATTTTTCTGTGACACGGATACTTCCTATTGCTAGCTTTTTAAATGCAGAATTCTATTTAGGTGAAAGGAAGAGCAGGGGTTTTCTCCAAGCAATTTGACTTTAAAGTAGGAAGACATATTAAATCTGCCGAGAATATGGTAAAAGGGGCAAATAATGGTTTTAGCATTTTTTTTCTTTTCTTTTTGGGTTCAGCCTCTTTTTGGGGGATGCTTAATTTCAAATATTTGAATGGAGGGGGGGACACACATATTCCTGTAGCCGTAGGTCTGCTCTTTTTGTTTGTTTTTAGTGGTTCCTTGTATATGACCTGAAAATGCCATGGAAGTCCATGAAAGCTCATTAATCAAAGAATAGCCCATGACTTTTCTTTGCAGTATTGCCATAAATTGGCCCCATAGTTCTGTGGTTTCAGTAGGAGGAGCATTATTATCAGTTTGCCACTATATGACACAATTTTCTGTTATCTGTGGACTAGCAATTGGCAAAATTAACACTGAAAGAACAGTTTAATTTACTTGCTGATCTCTGTAATTATTTTAACTAAGAAACCTTTCTCCAACCCTCTTCCAGTTCACTTGTTTCTTTGCCCAGAACAGTCATCTGCTAATAAGAATAGGTATTTCTTTTTTATAGTCACTAGTAGGAGAAAAAAATAAAATCTGGGCCACCAGAATGGCGAGAAGAAAAGGAAAACTCGACTATTTTTTCTGTGGACACAAGCCTTCTTTCTTCTCAAACCTTACATTTGGATGGGATTAGTATTAACTGCTGTGGTAAATTCAGAATTGTGTGCTTCCATGTATATTTATATAAATTGTGCAAGTACATTTATATTGCATAATTCATGATTCAGCCACCAGCAACCTCTCCAATTCCATTTTTGCACACCTCAAGTCCTTTGCACCTACATTATTGAACTTTGGTATTCTTCCATTTTGAGACTGAAAACAGTTGGGAAAGATAGGATAGGCCTAGAACTAGCTAGATGGCATCACCACCTTCCTATTATATCCCAAAGTCCCTTCACAGTCGCTAAAACTTTGCCTGTCACTTGCCTCATTCCAATTATAGTGCTGATCGGGAAATAAAAGCGTTTTATATTCTCTATTCTAATCCCAGGAGTTGATTAGCTAAATGATTTCATTTTTTCCCCAGTTATGATGGTGAAAACAATTTCTTTTGTTTTTGCTGGGATTATAATTTAGTGTAGAAACTCTTCTCTAGCAGCAATGCAGATCTCTCAAAAGAACTGAGTAATTGGGTATGAAAGTAATGGCAATTTGAGATATAGTAGTAGTAGTAGTAGTAGTAGTAGTAGTAGTAGTAGTAGTAGTAATAATAATAATAATAATAATAATAATAATAATAATAATAATAATAATAAGAAGAAGAAGAAGAAGAAGAAGAAGTTGAAGTTGAAGTTGGAAGGGACCTTGGAGGTCATCTAGTCCAAACCCCTGCTCAGGCAGGAAACCCTATACCATTTCGGACAAATGGCTGTCCAGTCTCTTTTTAAAAACTTCCAATGTTGAAGCATTCACCGCTTCTGGAGGCAGGTTGTTCCACTGGTTAATTGTTCTAACTGTCAGGAAGTTTCTCCTTAGTTCTAGGTTGCTTCTCTCTTTGATTAGTTTCCACCCATTGCTTCTTGTCCTGCCTTCAGGCGCTTTGGAAAATAGCTTGACTCCCTCTTCTTTGTAGCAGCCCCTGAGATATTGGAAAAATGCTATCATGTCCCCCCTCGTCCTTCTCTTCATTAAACTAGACATACCCAATTCCAGCAACGGTTCCTTATATGTTTTAGTCTCCAGTCCCCTAATCATCTTTGTTGCTCTTCTCTGTACTCTTTCTAGAGTCTCAACATCTTTTTTACATCGTGGTGACCTTTAAATAAGGAGATTACCTTAACCGCCATAGAGAGAGGTTATTGGAAGGGAGTTGATGTTTGTCTTTTTCAATTATCCTAGAGCCAAAACTCATGTTCTGTAGGGACCTCCATGGATTTCTCATCCATCTAAATACAGTTATAAGAGCCATATGTTTATTGAAAACCATGACTGAGATGTCTCTCTAAAATGTTTTTCATTGAAAATCCCCTTCTGCTAGAAAATCACAGTTGAAAATATAGCATGAATATCCTGGTAGGAAATAATGAGCTGCTACTGGAGCCTTATGACCAGAACCAAGAGGATCTGTAAATGTCAATATTGATTTTGCTCTTTCATTGCTGAAGCACTGTTCCACATTTTCAATGAGCTGTCCTCCATATCTACATGATCGTTCATAGAAATCCTTTGGGATTTCTTGAAGCTACATGGAAGTATTCCTTTTGGAAAAAAAAATATTCAAGAAACCTACTTTGCAAAGAATTATGAGCTCTGTTTGTTACTCATTTCGCTAAGAATATTAAGATGTATTGCTCTTCTAAAAATCAGGCCATTTTGAGTCTTATACTGGTTGCTAGCTGTTAATTGAGGAGTCCCCCTACTGTGTTTTTTTCTTCAACTTTTTGAGAATATCCTGCTTCATTTTTGAGTAGGTTGATGGGCTGCTTAAATTATTTAATATATTTAATTGGTTTCTTTTAATAATCCCATGCTTGTGCATTTAAGGCTTATCCACTAATTCGGGTGTCTGAACCTTTCCTCAGTGTTTATACTAGTGTTTGGTTTATTCTGCATAGATAAACAGAATCTCTTATCCCTGCTCCTTGCTCTGAATGAAACAACTCTTGAAAAGTTCCTTTTGAAACTGAAGAGAGGTTATTAGTTCAGGATGCCAGCCATGAATTAATACACTTGCACAGCAATTTAGGTTTCATCTGCAAGCCAAGTTGCATGTTAACCATTCAGACACAGGAATCCATTCATGTAGCCTTCAAGAAAACACACTTGTTTGTTTCCAGCTGCAGTTGTTCCAGCTGTGAAATGATAGAGAGAACTCCATCTATACATCTGGTATCTATATAGTTTATGGCTCCGGTAGGCTTACGTGATAAAAATTATATGAACATTTCTTACAAGAACCACTCTATTTTATGGAACCACCCATAATCAATAGCAACTTGTGTTTATATCTGCACTGATGTTTTGCCTATTACAACATGTAGGCAGTAAACTTTATAAGAAATGTTTTAGATTTTTTGTTTAAAAATTGATTTTGGGTGTGTAGCTACTGTATATTTTTAAAAAGTCAACACCGTGCCTCTAAAAACTAGTCTCCCAAAATCAAATCTCTGAAATTTGGAAGTCCTGTTTATTTATTTAAAACATGTAAATTCTCTCTAAAGTCCAACAGGGATCCGAACAACACATAACCAGATTGTTAAAACACAAAAATAGACAATGGCAAATAGCAGCTGCAGCAAAAATAGACTCCCTCTCTAATAAGTGTAGTCTAATCTGAACTGTGTGTTTCATATTTTAGAATGCCTTCTTAAAATACATGTGCAAATGGACCCATTTGCCACATTTATTTTAGGTGTTATTACATATAAATTCACAGCTCCCCTTTGAGAATGACACTTGGCATATTTAGAAGCCTTATGTAGATACAGTAGATGCCTTCTGAATAAAAGCATGAGAAACATCAGGGAAGTTGCTTCTTTGTAATTCCTCTAGCTTTCTGTTGCTGTTCTTGCTTTATACTCAGTTGACCATTAACAAGGTCCTTTAGTGCAGGGGTCCACCACCTCTGGGCCGTGGCCTGGTACTGGGCCACGGCCTGTTGGGAACTGGGCGGCAAGCATGCAAAAGCTATTTTCTAAGGCGCCTGAGGGCAGGCAAGAAGCAACGGGTGGAAACTAAGCAAGGAGAGAAGCAACCTAGAACTGAGGAGAAACTTCCTGACAGTTAGAACAATTAACCAGTGGAACAACCTGCCTCCAGAAGCGGTGAATGCTCCAACACTGGAAGTTTTTAAGAAGAGACTGGACAGCCATTTCTCTGAAATGGTATAGGGTTTCCTGCCTGAGCAGGGGGTTGGACTAGATGACCTCCAAGGTCCCTTCCAACTTTACTATTATTATTATCATTATTATTACTCCCTTTGTGTAAACGGGTGCACACACTTGCTGCTTGCACAAATGGAGCTTCGCACCTGTGACTGCAAACTTGCACAGAACAATTCTCTCTGCCCCATCACCACCACTGCTGCCTGAAAGGTTGGGGACCGCTGTTTTAACTGCAAAATTATCTGCCTTTAACTAAAATACTTACCAGCAGTGAGAGAGATTTATTTTTCCATTGGGAAGAGATATCATTGTAGGTTGAAGCTGACCAAAACATGTGTTAAGCCTTAATGGATTTAATAATTATGTATGTATATACTATATATATGACTAATTCAAATTATTTAAAGTATACTTGAGGAACGCAATTGATTTTTTTGAAGCCCTAGTGACAATGTTTGGATACTTATCCTGTAATTTGTTTGCATGATTCTAAGATACTGTCATCTGCGTAGAATAAATATTTCATACACCACAATGATAATGATAATGACAATACCTTTTGGAAGTCTGCAAAATGAAATGAATAAAAGGAACTGCAATGTATTGTTTGATAAGCAATCCCTTTGTGGGAGTTGTAGCCACAGTACCAAAAAGAATGAGAACAGCATGGATTCTTCACTTCCAAGCCAGCTGAGATATCACAGAACAGCTGCATCTAAAAACTCAGTTCCAGTAGATACCCCTGCTTCAAGATTGTACCACATGACTCCGAGCTTTATTGTAAATTTTGTATTTTAGGGATGGTTATTTATTTCTGTAATTCTAACCATGTGCTAGCAGTCAATTGGAATGTTTAATAAGCTCTCTTTTTAAAGACTGTGTGAGACCATTAGGTAGCATAGAGTGCCAGGAAATAGCAACTGATCTCACCCGCATAGGACTTTTAAGCCCTAATTCAGCAACTTGGAATGATAATGGCAGGGTTTTGAAGATATATTTACTTGGTGGGTGTTTAGTCATTCATTCTCCAGAGAGTAGTAAAATACCATTTTTGGAGTTGTATACAGCTGGAGTCCAGAGAGGTGATGGTAGGAGGTGCGGCAAAATCCTCAGTCTTTTGCCTTTACATTTAGGAACAGGCAGAATGTGACAAAGTCTGCCAGGCATTTTTGTTTTCAGTATGGACATATTGAGGTCACACAAGAGAAAGAAAAAATGTAAATAACAAACAGAATTACATTGATAATAACTAATGTGGGATTATTTACTTACCTGATCCTTAAACTATTACATGAGAACAGTGTCAATCACAGTAAGTCAAGACTTTGTCAAAATGATGGAAACATGCTCTGCCCCTTGTGCAGTTGCATACAATATTAAGAAGTGAATGCAAAAGAGATCAACTTTGTGTTGGGCCATCTCAATACACTTGTTTTTGTTTGTTTGTTGTGCACCCTTGTAGAATCCCATAGTTCAGAACTGCAACTGCTTTACTCAAACCTTTATCATTGGTTTCCTTGCTTGTGTTCCATCACACATACTCATCAACCTATCCATTTCCCACATATCCTTAGTTAAGTCATTGGTAATTTATTTTTCTTCAAATTTCTGATTTCTCTTCTAGTCCCATGGGATTATTAATAGAAGTCTTTCAGAATAATTATTCAGATATCCGTGTTTTGATCCTTATAGTTCTGCCCTGTAAAAAGTATCTTGAGAAATGTACTCTGTTTTAGGATGCTTTTATATATTTTTTTAAAAAAACAAAGCAAAGCAAAATAATGATGTTGCATTTCTATTAAACTATTACTCTTTTCCTTAGTAAATTGTTTTTTTTCCCTTGCAGTGGCCCAGTTGGATAATATGGGTTTCAGCATCGTTAAGAAGTGTATCCATGCTGTCGAATCTAGAGGTGATGTTTCCAGATACAGAACTATATTCTATCTATATAGCAGATAGAGGCTTCCTCAGCATTCTTTCTTCCCTCAGCTGTCATAGATACTGTCTTGGTTTTCATGACCTGATCTTTAAATCAGCTTATGTTACTGAGGGAAGTTCACCTTTAAAATATCAAATGAAATAATTTTTGAGAATTATACTTTCCCAGAAATGTATTGCTTCTTTTTAGGACCCTATTTAAAGCAATGTTAATTTATTTTCTGATTACCTTTTTATGATTGTAGATATTTTAAATTTTTATGAACACAAACCGTGGCTTATAAAAATAATTGTTTAGCTTTAGCTTCTATATCCCACAACCACAAGTCTGTATTTGATTCGATGTTAAATTAAAAAAAAGCTTAAGAATATTGGTGTTGATTAAAATTATAAGTTAAATATTATTATTCAGCTGTAAATCAAACTGGTGAATTTTTTGAAAAAAAGAAATTAAATTTTTCAAATAATAAAAGCTAAGGTCTTTTAACCACAATGTCTAATTCTTAGAGACATTCTGTACTGCTGTTTGTGTATATGACCTCTCAGCCCCAACTCCACACCTAACAACAGGTTTTTACATTCCCTCGTTTTTTTTAATTATCTCAGTATAGTGTGGGAGTAACTTTTACTAGAAATCGCATCTGGGTCTTTAATCTGAAACACAAAAAGAAATGCTATCCACTTTAATAAGAAACTTGAAAAGTGTGTAGAATGCTGTGAGAGACTTTAATTAGTGTAGCTCTGTGAGAAACTGCTCTTTTTAAAAAGAAGCATTAAATTACTTTCCAACCATTTATCTAAATTAAATAATTTCACTCCATAGGGATCAACGAACAAGGACTCTACAGAATAGTTGGGGTCAACTCCAGAGTTCAAAAACTATTGAGTATCTTAATGGGTAAGTAGAGCTGAAAAAAAAAAATTACATGCTGTTTTTTTTTCTATGCCAATGATGGTATGAATGCATCCCAAAGGAAAGAGACTTACCACTGTGAATTTAATTATTTTAAAAAAAATCAGCTTCTGAAGGAAGGACATCATGCAAGATCTTCACTGCACTACATTGAAATACTCAGTGAAAGGAATGCATATCATGTTTATGTATTCTTTCTATTTTACAAATTTATCTGGTTTTTAGGAGATAAACTTTCTGGTTTTTAGGAAATAAACTTTTTGTATTAATATTTATATGCAGGTGGCTAATAATTAAAATGAAATCTGCATAAAAAAACAATCTTCCAATACAATAAACTAAATACTATTTCAAAATTATATAAGGAAGAAAAATAAATACAGAAACACACATCCTAATGTTGAAATGTTAAATCACTATGTACCTCCTGCATTTGATGGAAAAGAAAGGAAGGGAGGGAGGGAGGGAGGGAGGGAGGGAAGGAGGAAGGAAGGAAGGAAGGAAGGAAGGAAGGAAGGAAGGAAGGAAGGAAAGAAAGAAAGAAAGAAAGAAATAAAGAAAGAAAGAACCAAGGAACAGATTGGCTGTACGTAGGTAGGAATTCTGTAGCATCAAAGTAGAAATTGAAGATGCCCGCTTCTGAGATCACATTAAGTAGCATCTTTGTAGCAATAGGATCTGGATGGGATCAACTCTATTCAACCTGATGTAATGGAAGAAAGCAATCTGGTGCTATGTAAGGCATGGAAGGTGACAATCAACATCTAGAACTGTACTGGGGATAAACTAGTAACTATTTTAGCTTTCAAAGTTATGGGTGTCATCGTATCTTAGGATATCACATCACTGCCCATGCTGCCAGATTTTATACCAGCTGTAGTTTCCAACTGCTCTTTGAGGGCAGCTCCATGTACTATGTATACAAAGTCTCTTGATCCAAGGATGATCATAACTGATGCATAAGATGTAGCTGTGCCAAAATCATCACGATTTTTTTCTGAGCTTTCCCAAACTGTGGTTTGTGTATTTATGCATTAATTTCTCCTTCTCTCTTTTAATACTTGCCATAATGTGCATATGGTGTTTTTATTATTTGTTTTTAATTACTCGACTGGAAGTTTTTTCCTAGCTTCTCAGAGCATATTTTTAATTGACAAATGAGAATTTCCGGTGCTTTTTAGTTATGAACCTATGCTACTTCCAAAGTCAATATTCTGACCATAGGTTTAAGTGCAAATAATAGGTTCCTATACATTTTTCCTAGATAATTAGACCCTAAGTACCTTGCAGATATTTATTAATATATTGCAATAATTTATAGCTACATTGCAGAGGGTACAATTCTTCTAAAGTGTTTTACAATCAAAATAAACATTTGTAATTAAAAATACCATCTGTATGAAAGAACAAAGAAAAACATTTTTAGGATCCTTAAGACAATTGGAAGAAGCTTCAATGAGGTCTTCCTTCCCCCCACTTCCTTCTATATGAAATAAAAGTAGCAAATATTTAACATGTATATGTTATTTTAGCAGCAGCTCTACAATCTATATATAATAAATTAAAAAAAGAATTTTGCAACACCTTATCAGTGCTACTGATAATTTTTGACTCTCTCCAATTGTCACTTAATAGAGGCATTCCATCAAGTTACTTAAACTGTTTTTCTCATAATTGCTCATGATAAGAAATGTGACTTTAAGAACTGTACCCTCCTTCCCTTCTTCCCTCCCTTCCTCCCTCCCTCCCTCTCTCCCTTCCTTCCTTCCTTCCTCTCTCTTTTCTTTTCAATTGAAAGTTGGAGAGCAGAAACTAGCGATATTTTCACATTGAAGAATAAAATTGAAGAATAGGAAATTGGAGCTGATGGACAAAATAGCAATATATAGTTTAGTTATTTATGGAGAGAAAAGATAGAAATTACTTTAGTTGAGGCATTAGGACTATTTTAAAGAATAAGAAATAAGGCTTGAGAAAATGGTTGCAATGGTTTGGGCATCTATTGAGGGTAGGGGCAAAGATTGTAATCTGTCATTACAAAGAGAAGGAAGAGATACTGAAGATATTGAAGAGAAGGAAGTTGCAGTAATAAATCTCCATGGACATAAAAGGTCTTCTGATCTTGGGCATGGAGAGGATCCTAAGATTTCTTGTGATTAAGAATGAATAATGAACTGATAGATGGGGAAAATGTCTTTCTCTAAGGCAGTTCTAAGTGCAGCCACCTGTGCTGTGATTATTAACTAGTCTGAAAAGTGACTACTTGATTTTCTAGTGATTAAATAGCTTGCATAGGACAATCAAGGAATTGATTTGCATAAAAAAAATCAGAACTGAAAGCTTTTACTTCCTGATTTTTTCTTAGAATGTTCCCCTTTTCAAATGTTCATTCTATCATTCCGATATGATCATTATCATGGGCCCTGTTTTTTTCCTTGCATTTTCTCTTCTATACATAGAAGCAAGTGTGATTGGTGTTACTGGTTAACATTTGGTTTAATGATAACAGGATCAGGTTTCGGGGAAATATTACTGGTTCATAAATTGACAAGGGAATGTGGATACATTTCTATACTTAATTGGAAACACCAGATGCTTGATGTGGTTTGGACTTGGAGCCTGTTAGATGTGCAGCAGCTGCGGGAAAGCCAGTTGCAGAAGTCCTGTTTGATTTGGTGAGGCTGAGTCTTGAAGTTCCTGATACCTCCCACTGAAAGAGGCACAATAATTACCAGCTGAATTGTTTGACAATATATTTTTCTCCCTTACCTCTGAGTGATAAACAGTAGTATTGCTTATTAACAAGACTATTTTCAGAATAAGGGAAAAAAAAGTCTATAGAACTAAAAGCCTTTTCCAAAATTAGTTTGGGGTTCATCAGAAGCAGCAAAAATTACAAAATCTGCCATTTAGAACTAACATTTTACAAGATAATTAAAGATAAAATAACAGAGCAATTGTGAATGGTCAAGTGCCATATGTAGCAACAGATCTCCCCTCAGCAATCTGGTCATAGAGCAACTTTCTGTATTATCTACAGCAGTGGTTCTCAACCTGTGGGTCGGGACCCCATTTGGGGTCGAACGACCATTTCACGGGGGTCGCCAAACAATGCAGTCCACCATTCCCCCCCCCTTTCCTTAGCTGTGCTACTCCCTTTTATTCTATTGGCTTTTGAAAGCCAATAGAATAGACTCTCTTGAATAGAGTCTAATTCTATTGGCTTTCAAAAGCTAATAGGAATTGTCCAGGTTGTCTCTGCCCTGCTGAGCCCGCCAAAAGTCCCATTCTGCAAACGGTGCTGCACCAGTTGAGTAGTCCTCGACTTACGACCGGTTGAGTAGTCCTTGACTTACGACCGGTTGGGGGTCGCGGCATTAAAATGGTTGAGAACCACTGATCTACAGCTTTTAAACAAGTTCAAGCCTAATTGTGGTTGTAAATATTATGTGGCTTGTTCGAAGCTATGATTACAATTAGTCCCAGTTCTTATTTATATGACATGGCAAACTATAATTAATCCAAAGATAGTATAAAGTTTAGAGGAATTCTCATTCTGGCTATAATTAAGGACAAAGAAAGGAGTGATTCTAATCCTGGCAAAACACTTTGGTTTAGCATAGTTTTATTAAAAATTCCAAATTCAGTTAATTGGATTCCAAACTATGTTACATGTACATGGAAGAAAATGTTCTCTGTATGTACAGTATATATAGTAAAGAGGGATGATATTGCTTAATTTGTGAATGTAATCTCCCACAAAACTTCTGGCATTCTAAATAACCTAGTTTTGAAGCTTATCACAATTATGCTTCTTGAAGTAGTCATTTGAATCTTGACAATAATCCTTTTGATGTGATCTATATGTCTCCCAGGTTTTATAGCTTTGGACAGTAACTGTTGCACCAAATTAAAAGTTCTGGAAAAAAATACATCATTACTTTTTACTCCTGTTTATATTTTCGTGAAAAATTCTAATGTAGGCTATTCAGCTGTGAGAATTGCAATTAAGTTGCAATTAAGACATAAGGTTAGAAGCCAAGATACTGTGATTTCCTGTTTTAAGCAGAAAGCCAGCTGGGTGATTTTGGTCTAGTCCAGGGGTAGGCAACCTTGGCTCTTTTATGACTTGTGGACTTCAGTTCCCAGAATTCCTGAGCCAGCCATGCTGAGGGGAAAGGGAAAGGTTTCCAAGCTGAGCCATGCTGGCTCAGGAATTCTGGGAATTGAAGTCCACAAATCATAAAAGAGTCAAGGTTGCCTATCCCTGGTCTAGTCATTCACTTTCAGTCCTAGAAAGAAGGTATTAGCAAGCCACTTCCAAAAAAGTTGCTAAGAAAACTGCAGGGACTTGTCCCGGTGGGTATTAGGAGTCCAAACGGACTTGAAAGCACCCATTTCCCATGGTTATTCAGATGTATGAAGGATTTCCATTAAACACTACAGAAGTAACTTCTGATAATGTTACTTATGTGTATTGAATGTCCTTCTGAACCTAGAATGCTGTTAGTTTAATTTTTATTTTGTTATTTTATTTTAATTTATTTGATTCTATTTTAGAAGGCAACTCATAGATACTATGGACAATGGTTCAAATCATTTTCCATGACTGGATTACACATAAGAACATAAATATGGAGTTTACTGGTTGGTAGGGTGTCTTTAACCTTTTACTCCCATGCTGGAGAGCCTAAGAAGAAAGGCTTTTAATATGATGCTTTGAGGGAAGGAAGAACCTGGGGACACCCTTCAAAGAAGACAAGACTAGGAATCCAACGTCATGTAGGTCAATATACTTGTACTGTAAAGCTATAGTAACTTGCAAGTCTGAATATGCTTCCCTCCCCTGCCCCACTTCCTCCCTTTTTCAAGTCAGAGATGTTTATTTAAAAATACATTACTATCCAGGACTTGGTCCTCTTTTGTCTGTCCATTGTCTTGGTAATGATTCTTCATGCTATCCTTCAAGACCATTCCCTTTGCCC